CGTCAAATATGTTGTGGCTAGAATTGAACCCACCAAGATGAATCTGTCTTAACCTCGCTCTGATACAACTGTTATGTCGAGGAAGAGGCAAACCCGAAAATAAAGAAGATAAAGAACACCAAATTTTAAAGTGGAAAACCCTTCAAATCGAAGGTAAAAACCACGGGATCACAAAGATCCAAAAAGCTCCACTATAATAATAAGAGTGTTACAAAAGTTCTCCAAATTAGCTACACAATAATTTCCAAACACGGAGCAACAATAGCAACAAGAGCAACAACTAATCAATTGAAGAAGGAGGAGAATCCACAAAAATAAAGCTGTTGTTCGAGGCTCGAAATTAGATACTACGGGCCTCCAAAACTGATCTTCACCGTTCAAATTAAAATTAAGATGTTACAAACACTCGTTCAAAATATTAGCCCGATCCAACGGTTAACAAATCTGAAAACATGATTTGAAGTTGGCTGGTCGGAATAAAAATCTGCAACAAAACAAATACTTTTCTTCTCTCTTGTCTCTTGATGAAGCTCTCCAAAAATCACTCTTATGTGCTTAAGTCTTTCAAAGACTTGTACCAATGAGCATAGAACAATTCTCTAAGGTTGTCTTATTTATAGATCATGAGTGGTGCTTTCTCTTAAAGCCAAAACCCACTCAAAATAAGAATAAACACCAAATACAATTCCGAATAGGAATGGAAACCAAAAGAGAATATGATTAGGGCATTGGGCCTTTGGCTGGACAACATGGGCATGTGCCCAACAAACTCCCCCTTCAGCCAAGGGGCCAAATGTATTTTCACATAATCTTCAACCCATTGTCGTATATATCCACATACTTGTTGGTGCTCGAAATCCCAATCTTCATCAGATTTACTCTCGGGCTTATGAGCTGAAAAAATGGGTAGATGCATCTTCTTCACCAACAACAAATCTTTCATCTTGCTTCTCCAAATATTATAATTTCTCCCATTTAAACATACCATCTTGCTCATATTCGCCTCCATTTCGTACAACCCGGATAAATAACCAAGGCTCTGATACCACACTTTTATAACCGAAAAAATCAGGTGTCATGCGGAATCTAGCAAAGTAAACCTTGAATGACGATAAATCATACAAAAAAGAGAAATATACCAAAAGAGACACAAACATATAACGTGGTTCGGTCAACTGACCTACATCCACGGCGGAGATGAGCAATCCACTATATAAAAAGAGATTACAAAATATTGAGAGAACAACCTCACGAAGAGGCAAACACAAGTGACACGCTAACACTTGTCCCGTAAAGTTCTCCCCCTAAACACGACTCTCAAGTCCTATATGGCTACATTGTGGATGATGTTGAATGAGAATGAAGGATCCTCATTCTATAAAAGTCCAAACATTTTCCTACATGAAAAGGGACTAGCCAAATATGAGATATTTATAATTTCCTTCTAAAAGAAGGAAAACTCAATTATGGTAAATATGTTGCCCTTTCCTTCAGCAAATAGGAAAACTAAATATGGTAAGAAAATCAGGACAACACCTAACAATTAATGCTAATAACTAAAAGAGTGGAATATATATACACATAATTGGTTTATTTGTAGAGACATCTTACATCCCAAACTTATACGATGGATACAGAGAATACAACATTGGGCATCGATGGTGCCAAAGGGGAAAACAGGAGTTACTAAGTGCCAAACAAGTGTTTTGACAAAATCAAAACCTTTCAATGTGTTGTAATTTTACTTCATCTAACTGGTATAAGACAGCCCAATCTTCAAATGTCAATAGAGATAAAAGAGTTCGGTGATTTCATCCCATTTGTTTATATTTTAGCGAATAAACGAGTTACTCGATATATCTATGTGTGCATTAAGTGATCTGAGTACTACCATTCTGGAAAAAAAAAAAAATGTATATCCAAAGCATAGTTTGGATTGAGAGTCACGTTGCATGGAACATGGACTAAAATGATTGGGTTGTAGTTATGATTGGCTAATATAGATGTGCCACCCCACATCACATGTGTGGTTCCTTAAAAAACCCTAAAACAAAAAGGATTATAGAATTACGAATAGCCTTAAATTGGAAAAGATTAAGAACTCATCTGAACCACACATATCCGAATTCCATTGTCAAACGACTCAAAACTCACAGCTCACATGGCAAAGGTTCATTGTTCCATGGAAAATCCCAGCCTAGACAAGTCTGTCAATGCTTAGAACTAATTAAAGGCATTAGAGCTAGCGTAAGAAAAATAAACTAAAATTGAAAAAAGAAAAATCATCACAGTATGGGTCCCTCCTAAATAATTTACCAATAATAGCTTAGTTTTTAATTTTTTAAAATGAGAATACGAGTAGTCAGCAGTCTCCAAAGAGTTGGACAGAGTCATAATAAGGAAGAAATTTCTTCTCCCCTTTTGGTCAGCTGAAAGCCCTAATTTGATTCCTTTTTTAGGGTTTGCGATTTCCTGAATTAGGGTTTCTCTGTTTCGTCAATTTTTGGAGAAAAAAAAACGAGGTTTTCTAGTTCTAGAGTAACTTAACCATGAAATTAATGTTGAGAATATCCCAATTCCATCTCCTAATTCTGCTATTTGCTGTCATTTTTTTCTCCTTTACTGTTAGTTCACACGGTTTAAAGCCACTACCTTCCCATCAAGATGATGAAGATATCTGTCCTAGAACGCAATTAACTACGGATTCTTGCCCCATTAACTGTTTCCGACCCGACCCGGTTTGCGGCGTCAACGGGGTAACATACTGGTGTGGCTGTCCCGATGCTCATTGTGCTGAGGTCCGTGTTGCCAAGTTAGGGCCTTGCACTGTTGGAAATGGAGGGTCCGCTTCTGTTCCGGGTCAGGCCCTCCTCTTGCTTCATATTGTTTGGTTAATGTTTCTTGGTATTTATTTTCTAGTCGGGCTTCTTTAATTGATTACAAGTTCTTTTTGTTGTTGTATATATGAATGAAATTCACGATTGGTTGGTTTCAGATTTGTCATGGTTTATTGTTGGGGATTCAATATAATTCTTGGAGATTCAGATATTTTTTGCATCTTGGTCTTCTTTAGTTCTTTTAATTTCTAGTTTAATTGTCTTTAGAGGCAGATCTTAGATTTGAACTTTATGGGTTTCAGTTAAGAGTTCTAGCACAACTCATTTGATTTACTGGGTTTGAAATCAGTTATTTATACTTATTTTGGTGATTTCTTTTAACACTTATACAAGGTCTAAGCTAAAGCTGTTGGGTTTTGATGAACCCATAAGTTACCCTCTACATCCTGATTGCCTTTGTTTCATCATATGAAATTTTTTTTTTTTTTTTTTTTTTTTTTTTTTTTTTTTTTTTAATGAAGTAAGGTGTTTCATTAAAAAAGCATCAAGAAGATGCATAGTTACATAGTTACAGGGATCATATGAATAATTCTATATAGAGCCTGAATTATTAAATGTAATTGTACTTCTTGCTTTTGTTGGAAGCAAGAGCAAACCTTGTTAAGTAGGAGATTTTCATTACATGAAAATTTTGATAAAGCAGAGCTTTTGCTGCGAGATTCTTAATCTAAGATTGATATTGGACACATCGATCGGCAGCTCTATATCCCCTTTTAGCTTGTTATCAGCTAGTTCTTACTGTAAAGTCAGAGAGAATGCAACAAATACTCCTTGGCTAGACTTCAAGAAATGATTGGGGAGGAATTTCCGTAGAATTAGAATCTTCTGTAAGAGTTTAATGGGCACGTCGATTAAACTTTGGCGGGCTAAAACTGGTTGAGTTAATGAAAAAGTATGACTCAACACGTCCAAAGTATGCTTAGGCTAAGATTGGTTGAGCAACGGATCAAACCCAACCCATCCAGCAGAAAAACATTTTTCAATTCTTTTCAGCTTGCAGAGTAATTATCTGTCTTTTCCCTTTGTAGTTCTATTGAAGAGCCACTTAGTTACTTAATGTCCAACCCCAGTGCCTTCGATGATGACAAAGGTGTAATGTCCAAATGAAAGACATGGGTAAATGATAACAACTACAATAACAATAGTAACAACAATTACAATAACACGAAGAGCCATATTAACAATAACCTTAACCATATCATCATCATCTCTATCAAGTATAGAAGATCCTGATGTTTTGACCATGCACCAGACATACTCGTAGAGGCTCAAAGATATTTTTTTTGTTGATGAGATCATAGGGGCTTGTAGATCATTATTTTTTATAAGATTGTAGGGGCTTGAAGATTGTGTTTCTTCCTTGGTTCGGGACACTTCACACGGGGGCATTATGTAGTTAAAAGTTGCCCTCCATGCTTGCTAGTTCAAAATTGCCTCTAGATCTCTTGCATCAAAATGTGAATCTATTGCATTACTTTGAGTGTCAAAACATTCAGCTGCATTTTCTAACTCTTCTTTTGGACACCAAAAACAAAATTGCATATATGTTACTTTTATTCAATTTCTAGGTCTGTGTTCTCTGTAAGTTGGATGCAATTGTTGAGTAATCTGAATGTGTAATAGTGAGGTTGATATTATACCTCTTTACGGACTCATGATTTACCTATCACAATGCCGTTAAATCGCCATATGAGGTAGTTTTCTTTGTTAACCGATGATACTTTATGGAGGCAGACGGAATTACTAGTTCTATGCTTAGACATAAATTCAAATATAAAATGCAGAAATCAGATGGCAAAAGCTTATAAGAAGAGCTGGCAACAGAGTTACTTGGAAGTTCTCAAAGACAAAAGAATGTTGAGCGTAAAAAATAATTTCAAGGGCTTTTCTTCCTCTAATATAGCTGCCCCAGGGGCGTATCTAGCCTTATGGTACCGGGTTCATTTGAACCCAGTACTTTTGATTCATTAATATTGCAATAAATAGTAGATATGAACCCATAACATTAAATATAATGGGTTCGATGCTAAAAAACTTAGAGATTGAACCCATTAGAGTTTAAATCTTGGATCCGCCTCTGGCTACCCCTTTGCAAAAGCTTCATATGTAATGTTGCGTGCATTCTCAGTAATACTATCAGCGGAACAATGGTGCAAGCAAGTCCATGTGAAAAGAATAGGCATCCTATCATTGACCAGATCTACTCAAGACTAGAGATGTGTGTAAAGCTAAATAATCCAGAATGGCTAATTAAAAGATAAAGCTACCCTATAAACGAGTCTAACAAAGCACTCAGTGATCCTTCTTGTCAATCGACTCAGCAGATGAATCACTCTGTGTCAACTCAGCTTGAGAGGACTCTGGAAACTCAACGCCGGCATTCTTGCCCGTTAAGCTTTTGTATATGTTAAGAGCTTGAGCCACCATGCTGGCAGGATTAGAAGCATTTGTAGGAAGTAACAGTGTTGTACCCTTTAAAATTGAAAAGAGAAGAACAGGAAATAAAAAAGGATTAGAAAATCAGTAACTTATGATGACGTACTAAATTTGAAGGTTTCTGTCATGCTTCACCTCCTTCGCAATGTTACTGAAGGCTTGGATATACTGCTCTGCAATCCTCAAGCTTGCTGCCTACAAAACCAAATAAAAAAAGCTATGAATGATGATGTAGATTGGCATTGATGTAATGTAATAGTACAATTCCAAAGTTAATGAATGAATTTAATCAAGAATATATTTATCCAAAATCTTGTTACATGTCATGGAAAAAGAGTTAGAGATGAATTTAATAATCTCACCTCTGCACCTCCATGCTCTTTAAGGGTTCGTGACACCAAGGCAATTCCTTTTGCTGTAGCTTGTGCCCTAGAGAGGATGGCTTCAGCTTCACCTGATTCATCAGAGTATGGGTGAGGAGAATCAATAAAAACAAGTTTGATGATCTCAGAAACGAAACAAAACTGGCTTCACAAATGTGCTTCCTGTTACAGATGTTCTCTGTACCAATACTGAAACCTTTAGGAACCAGATTAAAGAATCAAGGATACAAAAGAACAATGATGTTCTTTGAGTCTTTACTAACCTTGTGCTCTGTTAACCTGGTCCATCCTCGCAGCTTCAGAGGCAAGGATGACCGAACTCTTCCTTCCATCTGCAATATTTATATTTGCCTGCCTCTCTCCTGTTGTATGTTTGAGACAATACATCAATTTGATCATACACTAGAAAAAATTCATACTTACGACACATTGAAGTTCTTCAGCTTTGATTTTACATGTGCATATTCGTATCATTTCACTCCTAGAAAGCCTCATTAGCGTATTACAGTTATAGGCTAAAGATGAAGTTAGGACAGAATGAATGCAGTATATTAGCTGTTCACAGCATGCTCCTCCTCACTGTTGCTCAAATCAACGAGCTAGAGGAACGGACTATTACCTTCCGACTCCAGAACTTGAGCCCTTTTTTTACGTTCTGCTTCTGCCTGCATCTCCATGGCTGCCCTAACCCCAGGTGGAGGAGATATATCCCCTGAAGAGGAAATATTAATAACATATTCAGCAATGAAGAACGATAAAATGCTTTTGTAATGATGAAAAAATCAGCAGAGCAGAACAGGCTCAGCCCCATGTACTTATTTCATAACGAAGACATTTCAAGCCCCAGTCTTTTGCCGCATCGTTAATGGCCATCTGAAAGAAACACAATGGGACAAGGCTATAAAATTTTAAAGTGGAATAACAAATAGCCAAACGGTAATGGTGAAGGAGAAACTGAATCGAACGAGGCTATATCGATAAAATACTATTCGTAGTAGTAAAAGACATACCACAATCTTGTCATTCAAAGTGTCCCTTTCCTCAAAGGTCTTGTCGAGGGTGATCTTACCAAGCTCACTTCGCATAGTTGTCTGTGCTAGTTGAATTACCGCATACAACGGTTTCTCAACTCCATATGACGCCAATTTGGGGTCCACTGTCTGTAATTGCATGCGTTAGCTTTGTGTATTAGTAATAGCACATTTAATGGCGGAGTCAAAATTTTCATTAAGAGGTATCAAAAGATATAAAAGTAAATATACCAGGAAATTAACGGGAGTCAATGAATAATATATATACATTATAAAATTTTTTTTTTACCTACCTACACAGTGTATTTTTCCTGCAAAGGGGTGTTGTTTGACACCCCTTCCTATAAGGTGGCTTTGCCGCTGATCACGTTTGGTACACTTTTTCAACCTATGTATAACTAATACAAGCATTAGTTATATACCCCATTTGGTATTATTCTATGTATAGCTAATGCATAGCAAACTATAGTATTAGCAATACCAAGGCTATTAATGCATGCATTAGCATGGTTAAAGATAAAATTATCCTTAAAGTCCTTTAAAGCTAAAAAATATGGAGGACATTTTTGTAAATAAGTAATTTTTTTTTAAAAATTATGCAATGCATTTTAATTTTTAATACACTACACCAAACAATGGATAAGAAATAATTTCTGCATAAGTAAATAATGCTTGCATTATTGACTCATGCATTATTAATCCTGCATTACTAATGCACTTTATTCAACACTATTCTTATACACTCTACCAAACGACCCTTAGAGTTAGTTCTATGCACTGACGACATCATAACAAGCAACAGCAGAGAATTACATATAATAAACATCAATTAGCAAGTCAAGTTAAAAAGATAAGCAACACATCATAGCAGGTCTGATCACCTAATCAGTTTATGTTCATAATAAGTAAAGATTAATTAACCTTGACATAGAGGACACCATCAATCGAAATGCTGACATTGTCCTTGGTAATGGCGGTCTGATCAGGTATGGGAATAGCCTCTTCCTTGAGTGAATGCGCATATGCAATTCTATCGATAAAAGGGACCAATAGGTGAAGTCCAGGTGTCAATGTTTTCACATATTGCCCAAACCGCTCCACAACATAAGCCTTCTTCTCTGGTACTATGTGAATTCCCCAATTTACCGGCGCCCGTACATAATACCTTCAAAGGAAAACATAAAATCACTCACTACAACTTTTTATCAAGCAAGCGCTGATTTGGGTGAAGTTTGGTTTGAAGATAAAATATATTTAGACATAATTTTTCATAACATATTTTATTTTTTTCTTAAGAAACATGAAACGTGACTTATACCCATAAGTTCTAAAAACTATTAAAAATACTCTAACAATACCAAACAAACAAACTTGCTAATCATGTATATGCAGAACCTTCATCGATGACATTCATTATCATTATCACAAACCATAGTCCTGAACATAGTTAAGTTTGACACAAAATTATCATTTTTATAATGAACTATATAATATACATTATAAAATCATAACCTGATATTTTAATATCAACTGCTGATCACACAATTACTAGCTACTATAATTCGTCAAATTGCAATAATATTACAAGATCCATCCGTTAAAAAAAAGTGATAGTAACTAGCTTGTGGATTAGTTGGGTCATAACAGATGGTGAGCTTTTATATAAAATACAAAAGTTTGGGGTAATTTTTAAAATTATTAAAAAATTCAACAGTAATATTTTGAGCCAAAAACAGGTGTAGAGCTAGTTTAACCATTTGAAAATTATGTTTTCAAAATCTGTCAAAATATGGATAAAATCTATAAACCAACACGTTTTGCCAAATATTTTTCGAAAAAAAATTAGCAAAATCTATGGTCAAACGGGGCTAAGAAAATACAAAGCAAATATTTTACGTACTTGGCGTAGGGGTCGCGAGAACTAAAAAAATGGCGTGTGGAAGTGAAGGAAGGGGATAGTTGACGTGGGAGGAGCTGATTGGAGAGAAGAGAAGTTTGTTTCGTAATTAGAGAATTAGGTGCTGTGGAGATTGCTCTGGAAATCATGATGATACAAGGTGAATGAAGTTGGAGATTTAGCTGCCGAAGCTTGTTTATTGAGCTTGATTTTGCCATGTCCCTTATTCCTATTCCAATTGATAATTATGAATTGTGGAGTAGAAATTAAATAGTAAGATCGATGGAGAATGGAGATGAGGGTTTTATGGTGTATACCTAAAACCCCTTGCTCAAGTTATTAATTATTCTTTCTTGTTCTTCAAGACTCTGGTGTTTTAGCTATGGTAAATAACATCAAACAAATATAATTTTTCCAAAGTAAATAAACTTATTTCTAATTATAAATAGTACTCCAGTAAGTACTTTAATTAGTTGATTTTACAAATTTTAATTTTTTGTGGACGGACTTTCGCTGAAATTTAAATCTTATACCTAAGTGGTGCAGAGCGTGGATTATTTAGAATTAAAAATATTTAAAACGAACTTGAGAAAAGGGGGAAAAAAAAAAAAGAGGGAAAATCTTAATGCTACTAGTTGGTCTATCACACGTATGTTTCTTGGTTTGCCAGTGCACTGCTCGAACGAATCTTCACTTCCTCTCTCCAAAGGATCCAATCAGTGGCCGATCCAAGATTTTAGGTTCGTGGGTGCTCAATTTTTCTTGACATGCAGGTACTACCAATTACATAGTCTAAGTGCATAACTATTTGAACATGATAGTCAAAAAAATTAATAAAAACTCGTATTAATATTATAGACGAGTGTAACGAAAAATGCAACTGGCGAGAATTTTATTTTTTGATGGATTTTGCCACTCTAGAGGAACTATTTATTTTTAGAAGAGGTCGAACTTTGCAATTTCTTTCTTTCTTTCTTTGTTATAGAGAATTGCTAAGTAAAATACAAAAGGAAAAAAAATTTAAAAAAGGGAAAGGTAAAATAGAATTCAGGGACTACGTCTGGAAAGAAAAAAAATAAAGTAATAGTATTGGATAAAAAATGTACCTATTGGATAAAATTTTTAAAAAGTGACCTAAGGGGTAAAAAAAGATAATAAAATTGAGCGTGCTATGAGTAGGATTCGAACTCCCACCCTCTCACACTACTAAAGCAAAAACTATCCTTGCTTGACCAAAGCACCCATCAACCTTTTTGTTCTCTGGGTGCTTCTTGGTTTAATATATCAAATGCCTCAAATTTTCTATAGAGCTATACAGATAATGTGGTAAAGTTAATGGGTGCTGAAGCACCCAAATTCGATATGTAGATCCGCCCATGGATCCAATGAATTCGAAAGAATTGAGGAGGAACCGTATGAGGTGAAAATCTATTGTACGGTTTCGTAGAATAGTAGTAAGAGTGACTTATCTGTCAACTTTTCCACTATGACCCTAAAAAAACCAAACTCTACCTTACATAAAGTTACCAGAGTACGATTAACCTCTGAATTTGAAATCACTGCTTATATACCGATATTGTGCTCACCTTTGCATTGGTTTCTTTTACAAAAAATTCTAATTTGTATTAGAGCAGAGCAAGATACAAGTATACATGAAACTGCTTCTAGTTTAATAACAAGCCTTTCTTTCTTGATTTGCAGGGTGCCTTTTTCCTCGGAGCTGGAAGCAGAGGCGGACCTATGCTATACAAAGAGGGGTCATCGACACCCGTAAAGTTCGGCAAAAATTTCATGTATACATGTATATATCTTTAGAAAATAGTGATATATTAGTAGCGGGCACCCAATATACAAATAGATTTTGGTTGAATCGAAAAGTGCACTCGCGACCTTCAAATCCTGGGTCCGCCTCTAGCTGGAAGGTACAATCAATCATGATAGGTAGGGGTATACAAAGAAAACCGACAAACCGTACCAACCCGATAATTCGAGTCAAACCGAGAAAAAAAAACTCAACTATGATTCGGTTTGATTTGGTTTGGTGTTGGAAAAAAAAAACCCTACCATAAGTGGTTTGGTTTGGTTTTAACTAAAGAAAGTGAAAACGAAACCAACCCGACACATATTTAGAAATTTTAGATATATTTAATATATAAATATACTTATTGTGATGTAATTTATAAATATTTCTTAAACTTTTTCATAATTTTATCTTTTAAGATATTATTTCAAGGTTGGATTTAGAATTTTTGAATGTTCCAATAAGTTTTATAGCCATTAATACTAGTAACTTAAATAATGCTAACAAAAAACCAAACCAAATCAAATCAATACTAATGCTAACAAAAGACATCCAATTCAATACTACGAACCACAATGTATTGAATATCTATTTTTTTGGTTTTGCAATAATTTAGATAAAAATGCATAAACTATTTTTATTTTTTCTTCAGCGTTTAGTCATGTAATTAATACTCACTTATTAGTCTACTTAGTTTAGCATGAGTTAGTACTTTTAGATTATGTTTATTTTTATTATGGCATTTTAATTAGCAATATTTATATTACATAATTTTGTTATCGTTATTGTTGCATATTTTAGGATAATTCCATGCCACATCTCATATTTTGTATTAATTTCTTGGAAAATACCTTATATAGTTGTGTCTTACTAGGATTAATGAAATATTTTGAGCACAAATTATATATTTTGTGCTACAAAGATTTTACCGGAAAAAAACCCGAAAAAACTCGAAAACCCAAAAAACCAAGATTGAAAAACCCGAATTTTATTGGTTTGGTCTTTAGATTTAACGGAAAAGGGCCAAAACTACCCCTATTGTTTGCTAAATGGTTTATAAATACCCTCCGTCCATCTATCCGTCCAAAAATATATACCACGTTATTTTTGTTAATAAAATTGCCCTCCTTTTAGCGGTGCAACATGTGGGCCTTCAAATTAATGCGCTGGCATATTTTTATTGGGCCACGTGGCTCTCCCGTTAGAAATCAAATATGGGTACAATATCGCCCCATTAATCGAACCCGGCCCATTTCTTAAACCCCTTTACCCTTGTATCTTCCTCATTTTGACTAACCAAATTAAATCTCCTCAACCGTAACACACCTTTTCCGGCGACCTCTTTCTCCCTCCGTTTTGTTTCTTATTGTCACTTCCCCATGCGTCTTTGAGTGCGGTGGTCTTGAATACAGGGTGCAGGCTAATTAATTGATTTTGTTAATGTAATCAAATCCTTATTCGCTTGTGTTTCAGTAATCTTGCCGTGGCTGAAAATTTTGATTTATCGAAAAATATTGGCCTGAAATTTTTCGGAGTTGCTACCACAAGAAGCGGCATGAAGCAAGAGAGCAACAGAAGAAAATAATTGAATTTGTATGGCAACAGTCATGGTTTCTCTATGTTCTTTTTCTGATTATTTCTTCGGAAAAGAGCAAGTTTATTCATTCACCATTTTCAAAGCTTTTAGTGGGTTTAAGGACCCATTTTAATAGAAATCTTTCCTTACAGATTCTTTATGTAAGCATATTTTGTATTTGTCTATGTAATCCTCACTTTTCGATTACAATTTGAACACTTAAATTTTGCTTCTTTAATTTTTCATAGTTACAGGTGAAGATATCTTTGTTGGGTGAAGAGGGTGTGGAGGACATTTACATGACTGGAGGTGATGGAGGAGAAATGGGGTATGGAGCCACGTTGGGTTGAAATAATATCAATTTTTTGTTCTAGTCAAAGATTGCCGCGTGGCCCAATTAAAAATCGTCACGTCATTAAATGAAATACCCACCAGTTCTGCCGTTAGTCGCGGGGGTATTTTTGTTAATAGAATTAACGTCGTGTGTTTTCTTGAACGGATAGATGGACGGAGTGTATTTTTTTGAACGGATAGATGGACGGAGGGTATTTATAAACCATTTAGCAAACGACAGGGATAGTTTTGGCCCTTTTCCGTAGATTTAATAACTCGACACAATTGGTTTGGTTTGGTAATTGCAAAATCCGAACCAACCCGATCTATGTACACCCCTAATGATAGGGTTTAAGTTATTTATGTTCTATTAATCGTAGTCTAGTGCTAGACTCACATCCCATGGCTTCTTGTGAACCCAACATTAGCTATCTGTTTTATGTCGTGTAACAATGTCCAAGTGCAAACCGACAGATCTTAAACGACTGTGCATCTTCATTCAATTAGCTCCAAATTTTGACATTCACAGCTTGCTTGGCGTGTATTTAATTAATCACAGTGGATTGTTGGACGACTAAGCTACGTGCTACATTGGCACCTCAATCTAAATTACCACTAGAAATCCAACTTTAGGTGGTCATTATGATCAGAAACTCATTAATTAAGCGGAGAAATGTACTCCTACAGGCAAATTGCAGGTAGTCAATCCACAAACGAAGTAATTAATTCCAAGCTTGGCACATCAGACTGTGGGATTATAATCTACTCCAAGAGCACGTTTCTGGTTCAAATTTTGTATGTAGTGCTAAAGTTGTATATATTGAAGATGAATCTATAGTTGTAAACATATAATAATTAAGATACGCGTTTTCTGAAAAAGATGTAAAGTGAACATTATATATCAGGGCAACTAAGTAACTCATAATAAACGGAAATAGTAATCTGAAAAAGAAATAGGCAGGAGCCAGGTTAAATTATACTGAGAAAAGCCTCTTGTATAAAACTATGCACCTCTGCTGAGTTGAGAACAATGTAACAATAGATCAATTCCTCCATCTCCTTCCAGTCTTGAATACCAACATTGTTGACCATCTCTTTTATGGATTCTCTTATATCTGACAATGGATCCATTGAGTACTTCACTGCACAAATAGTACTATCCGCGAACGCCCCATGAACATCTTTAGGCAAGTTAGCAGAAAAGCTAACTCTGTTTCTCTGGCGCTGCACCATTTTTTGGCTCTTGTAATTCACCATATTGCCTTAGTTATTCCCTTAGTTATTGGCTTTGTTGGATGTGTTCTTGAAATGGTCACAATATAAAGAGGGTGCTATAAATGTTTGTATTGTTGCAAACAAGCACTTGGGGCAAGTGCTTTGAATGTGGGTATGGGAATTGAGAGTTTAGGGATAAGGTCACGACACATGTACTTGAATCAGGATTTGAAGTTTATGGATTCTGAATTTATCAATAGTTGCTTTTGTTAGTGAGTTTGCCAGTTAAATATTTATACATATTTAATAAATTTCCT